ACTGTGAATTTCTCTGTATAAATGTTGACAATAATTCGAAATGACACCGTGTTACCCGCGTACAGATCTGCGACTTCGGTTTGGCCCGAGTGGAAGAACCGGATCAGAACAAGCACATGACTCAGGAAGTGGTGACGCAGTATTACCGCGCGCCGGAAATCCTGATGGGGGCGCGACACTACACAGCAGCTGTGGACGTTTGGAGCGTTGGTTGCATTTTTGGCGAGCTCCTTCGTCGACGGATCCTCTTCCAGGCACAGAGTCCCGTGCAACAGGTTAGTCCTTCTTCCCTCGACTCTTTCTTTTTTTTCGTGCACCGAGTATATTTGAAAATTAATAGACACCTTCTGTTAATTTTTCAAACACATATTTCGCTGCAGAGAAATATCCTGCAACGAGAATTTTCTTCCTTATCTTCCGATTCGTTTGGCGAACGCCTGTTCTCTCCTTAACCCAATTCAGATTATATTTAATTCTGGTATTTGCTGCGGCGAACGGATTGTCGTGAATATATCTATCGAGGAAGTAGAATCTTAAATAATTTAAAGAATTTATCTCAGTCTTCGAACAGTGTGCAGCAAATACTTCAACTTTCGAAATTAATGAGATATAATATATGGCCCGAGATAACTTTTAGAACATTGTCGTAACTCAGTGACAAATGGCGAGATACACTTTTTATGAAATTATTCTTCATTCTCTCGATGGATTGTAGTATTCATATTACTATTAGAGAATTAATTTGATCATTTTGCACGTGTCTTCGTTGTCCATGTGTTACTTTATAAATTTTTGCACGTTTTTTCGTAATCCGACAAGCATCCACGGATCTAACGAGAACTAACAATCTTCGACGAATATGAAGACCTCTGTAATTAATACTTGTAATTAATTCACATTGAGTTCGTTCCGTAGTTGTAAATCGTTCTAGCTCTAACTCGGCCCCATAAGTTTCGACTCGCTATTCATTTGAACTCCTAATACAGTTGTCGTCGTTGCAATTTCCTCGAACTTTCACTAGAGTTTCCCGTGCACTCGAGTATATGTACCGAAAGTGGGATCTTCCGTCAGGTAAAATTATGCAATTCTACGACGACAAATGGAGGGATCTCTCTCTTCTCTGTGAAAACGAAGAGAGGGTGAGAGAAAGGGACTTCACCAGGAAGTCTTCTAAAGTCGAGAACACTTTCATTCGATTTGCAGCTAGAGCTGATCACAGAATTGCTGGGCACGCCGACCCTCGAGGACATGAGGTTCGCGTGCGAGGGTGCGAGATCGCACATGCTGAGGCGCGCGCCGAAACCACCCTCGTTGACGGCCCTCTACACCCTTAGCAGCCAGGCGACGCACGAGGCCGTCCATTTGCTCTGTCAGATGCTAGTCTTCGATCCTGTAAGTTTCACCACCACCATCGGCGGTCCAGTCAACGTACGAATCAGTAACGAAAATTGAAAAACTCGCTCGACGCTCGAGACGCTGTTGGGTAGAATTTCGTTCAGAAAGAAAAGGAAAAGAACGATCTTGTAACTAGACTGTAGTCTGGTCTTCCACCATTGTGTTGCCATCGCTATTCTGACAGATACGAACCACGTTTTCGTAGAGTCAATTTTAGGAAAGTTATCGATACTTCAAACTTTTAATAATTTCCGAAAAATTAAACTTTGCAGATAGAAATCGTATAACGAGATTTCTTAGTCCCGTTTTGAGCTATTATTTTGACTACCTTGAATTTGTTTTTTTTTTTTTTTTTTTTTTTTTCTTAAGATATTTTAACATCATGTAGCAAGTGAACGTATGTGAAAAATTTTATTTACGACTAAATTTACGACTTTTTCCATTTTTGTCACTAAACGATCAAAAATTCAAGGAATTTCCTCGAAAAGCGTTTCGTATTTTAATGTTCAAAGTTCAATAAAATGGCTCCAAAAAAAAAAACAAAGATTTAAAAAGTCGTTGTAAAGAGAAAATTTCAATTTTCAAGATGATGAATCGAGTCGCGAGAAAGAAGTTTATTCCTAGAAATAGTTTAAATTTTTGCACTTTCCCACCCGATACACAAAGATGTAAAAACATCTTTAAAAAAAGAATTTAGGACAGTCAGAGTAGAAAATCCGTATGATTTTCTTTTATATATACGATTAAGTTACAACAGTTTAAGTTATCGACAATTTTTTTTATTATTATTAACCATTTATCACCATCATTATTACCATCATTAACTTTTTTTTTATCGCTGTGTACCATTGGATTTTTTTTATCATTACGTATTCAGTCACATATTGGAAATGTCTCCGCAATAGGACAAGCACGGACGAAGCTAAAAATCTCACTTCTCACCTCTGTCGAATCGAAAGCAACGCTTTTCTAATCTAAAAATGAGCAACTCGTTTAATCGGTGCAACTTCGTGGCAAACGCGTTTTTTTTTTTTTTTCTCCCCTATCTCTCGATAGGTTAACACGGTTAACACCGTCCTCGTAAATAGCGGAGTCGAAGAGCGGAGATCGATCGGTTTTCGAGAGGCGGCGGGCCTCGCGTCTCGTTCATATCGATCGTTCGTTGACCCGGTTCACGAACCTGCCGCAGGACAAGAGGATCACCGTGGTGGATGCACTGGCGCATCCTTATCTGGACGAGGGGAGACTGAGATATCATTCGTGCATGTGCGCGTGTTGTTACACGACCAGCGGCGGCCTCAGACAGTACACGGGGGACTTCGAGCCGGCCACTTCCCATCCGTTCGACGATCTCTGGGAACGGAAACTGACCACTGTGCAGCAGGTGAAAGGTAAGAACCGATGAATGATTTTTTGAACGGCGACGTGGCGGAGCTCAAAACCCGCGGGAAACGAGACCGGTTCATTTCGGATCTCTTGCTGTAAATCACGAAAACTGTGTCTCCTCTACGCATGAATTACAATTTTAAACGATGACGATTGAAATGAATAGACGTGCGTCTGCCAATTGTCAAAAAAAAGAAATCTGAAATCTCGTCTGACTTAAGATGCTTCTGTTCAGAGTTTATGCTCACTTTTGTCGAAGTGAAAGAACAAGCACGCGTGCCACTCTATTTTCCATGAATCACTTTCTATCATTATTTTGAAGAGAGGATGTTTCTTATTTTCCCGAAAATATTGTGGAACGGATAAGTTACAAGGTAAGTGAAAATAAGAGGGAAAAAAGAAAATGTTATGTGAAGTTTGTTCGTTACAAAGTTGTAGGGTGTAAATATTGAACTTTGATCACTCAGATTCGAAGAGTTCCGACCACCCCTTGATGTTTACTTGCGGGAAACTCGTAGATATGCAGTATTGAGACGTGACAAAATTCCCAAGAAATTTCATTTTAAAGTTATTAAGACAGTGGTGATTTCAAATTTAAATTTTTAGAGAATTTAACGCTTCACTACCTGAAGTATAAAATTTGTAGCAAAAGAAATTAAAATGCAAGAAACAAGAAAACGTCCGTAATAAAGAGCACAAGCTTCTAGTTAAATTTTATAAACATACACTGTTACGAATAAAATTCCTATAGAAAATTATAATAAATAATGAATGAAAAGATTAACTGATCATTTCGGGAAAATTTTCAACAATCTTCAATTGTTAAGAAATATAACATCTTCCAAGTACAGATTTATCCAGGCTACTTTCGATATTTGCTTACAGCTTTCTAGCAAAACATTCCATATAATACTCTTTTCTTATTTTCACTCGTAGATTATGCTCCCACAAATTTTCCGGAAAACACTATATATATGATATTTCAAACAAACTACGTGTAGTCTTTTGTCTAAAATTTTGTCTAAAAACAAGGAAAAAGCAAAATTTCGTATGTACCAACCTATAATAAATCTTCTCACGATAATTTTGTCAATAGACGCGACTGTGTAGACAACAAAGAAATTCATTCCTGGGAATATCTCGATTGGTGGACGATGATTTTCCAACCTTGCTGCGAAAAAATCGTAGCCTCGACGAAACTTCTGAAATTCAGAGCGCGCCTGCATCCAAGGAAATAGATGTGCGACCTAGATATGGGGTTTGTTATATCGAATTTACGAGATAGAGTGTCTGAGGGATGTAGTTGAAAAGCTGCCATGCGAAGAAGAATCGGTAGACAGGAAGTTGTCCGATTTTCGCGGAGAAGATAAATGAAAGTAGATTTTGGATGCTCGTATATACTCTGTAGAGAATCGAAGACAGTTCATTCTGACTTTGTTTGATGAAGCAATATATACAACAGCAGACAAAAGACAGTTTAAAATTGATATACTTGTATATTTATAATTTTGTATCGGATGTTTTTCCAATACAAAATTATGTTTTTCCACTATATACTGTATATTTTTAAGAACAGGTTAATCTTGTTCTTCTTATTAACTACACCTGAGCACATTAATTGAAGAGTATTTTAAAGAGTATTTTAAGTAAGTAGATAATAATAAATAATTACATTTATACTGTATATTTGTATTGATACAATCTATTGATATATTTACATTGATAATTAGAAATAAGTAAATTATTTGATCGAAAGAATTTCTTAACGTCGAATTCGATCGGAAGATTCTCTCGCGACAGAAATTTAAAACTATCCTTTCAAACTTTTTTTTGTCTGTGGAAATTCTTCGAAGTTCAATTCAATTCAACCAAGACACACCCTCCTGCTTTGTTACACTGGCTAGGTAAACTAGAAAATCGGAACGAACATCCAGCTGACACTTTCAATCTTGGCCTCCCTGCATGAAATAAGAAAAAAAAAAAAAATTTATTTTTCCACCCCTTGGCAATCCGAAGCAGAGATTCAGACGTGGCGGATCGATCGATTTCTCGAAATTTGTTAACAAATTTCGCGGACTTTAATCTTTTGTCTGAACAATGATACAAAAATAAATGAAAATATCTATCTGCAATAATGAAAAGTCCATGATTACTGCCTCACGTTATTCGTATGATTAATATGCAATATTAGAAATATTTTCACGTTCGCATATATATATATAAAAAATTTCGATATTTTCTATATATAACATTGGTATCATAAAGCACGCTTCAAGGGGGGTGAAATTCTCGCTCGAAATGATACCAGTGCTAATAATTTACATGAAAAAAAATTTTTTCCCAACAGTATATTAATTCGATCACGCACGCGAGAGAGCTGTATCGGTTCGTGTATCTGCGGAAACCCCTGCCCTCCGATTCACGATTCAATGAGGAGCCGACTTTCAGCGAATGCTAATGAAACGGGCGGAAACGAGCGGAGAATTATTAGAGAAAGGGTGCGTTTGCCAAGCAGTTCGCGCGACACAACGTCCGCATTAATCGCGGGTTTCCAACTCGCGAGGAAAAGGGGGAAAAAAAAACGAATGGCATTCGCCATCGAGTGAGTCACGCTTACGATTATTAATGGCGAGACGTCTTGGACACACGTGGCTTGGGAACAACGTACGCGCAACAACGACGCGATAGACTGTTGCGTGCGTTCGCGAATACGATTGTGATAAATCATCGTTTATCACTCGGGTGGGTCAGTTATCCTAGCTAACTTTCTTCTTGGAGCAGTCGTCGGAGAAACTGGGTCTAATATAGTGGTTGAAAAATTGCACGCCATCCGTTCGTTATACCGACTGAAAGGGAGGGAGGGGGAGGTGACCCCGCGTGAATTGCATCCCCCTCGAGAGAGAGAGAGGGGAGAATTTGCCCCCGAAACGATTCGAGACACTTATTCTATGGTTTATTCGTATTTCCGTTGTACAGGGCGGAAAGAAAAGTTTGCTATCATAGGATGAATTATACACCTTCGATTTGATGTAAAGAAGAATTGAAGATGAAAAAGTTTTTTTTTTTGCATTGTATTCTATTCATCACGAAGGGTAAAACTTCCCCAAGGAAAGCTGATAGTTTTCTTGAAAAATAGCAAGAAAGTTTCTCAATAATTTCGGCGTAGAATTCATCTGTGATAGCCACGGGCAAACTTTTCTTTCCATCCTGTACAGTAGATGTTTTGGTACAGCAAGGGTTTTACTTGTATTTAAATTCTTCGAAAGTACGCTTAAGATTGTCAAAAGGTTAAACGTTGTAAGAAATTAAAAATGCATTCATCTTTTGATCTATTAGGAGCACCCTTGAGTAATGTATCAGATTTTTTTCAAATTTAATAAACATCTAGTGACAAGAATTTAACTTATTATAACATATATTCTAGTTACATATTCTAGTTAAATATATTGACACTTAGTGTGCTTATTGTTCAATCATATTATAGATTATATAAAAATATTTGTTCAGTGCATTGTAACATGTTACCATTTTTATCGATTACAAGATATTCTCTGGTACAAACTAAACAAATTCAAAGGGTCAATACATTTGAGAAATCGTAAAAAATGTATATAAAATTAATTCATACATGTAGGGAGATGAAATTTATACGATTTTTAATTTTTCTGCCTGGTGCAACTTGCGAATAATTCTGAATCTAAAAACTCCATTCAATTTCGAATCAATTGTCCCTTTATAATGCAAATCCAATTCCCGCAACGTAAACGCGAAATAAATGAATAAATAAATTAGGCTTCGCAAGGAGTGCACACTTGGCTACTTTAACGCTGACCGGTATTATTTTTAAATATCACCGTTGCCACGTTCGATCCATGAACGTTGACAAAGCCACGAATTCGCATAAATCACGCCTATCGAGCCCGCGCTGCGTAATAAAGTCGCACGATTACTATAGACAGGCGCGTCCAACACTAACGTTTAATTCTGCACTCGAGATTTGTCATACGACAGGCATGCGACGTTCGTAATAAGTAATCGCGTAGTATGCGTCGAGTTGTCCCGACTGGATCCGTCGTTGCACGTGTGTCCAAGAAAGGTGTCGCAAGACGAAACGATCGTGTCGCTACGAACAAAGAGGTTCTTCGATCCCAGAAAGCGCTTTCCGCTCGAGGTCGAAAAAAATTTTTTACTACGCTTCATGTAGAGAGGAAGAACTGGATTTAGGGCAGGCCAATTTTTTCTCAAGTGAGCGTCGATTTTTTTCTACGCACAAATCAATTTGAGTGGCAGTAATTAAAATATAATTAAAATAGATCTGCATTTAATTAATTCGAGATATTAATTTAGCACGTTTTGGTGAGATCTTATTGTTAAAGATTAGACTTTGTCTTGATTAAATCAACTTTAATAGTCGGCTAAATTAATTGAAGCAAAGTAAATCGATGATCGTTTCACATATTGAAGATAGTATTTTCCAATGATGAATTGATTCAGCGCAGAACTTTAAGGATTACAGTCTTTGTTGACTTCGAAATAAACTAAATTAGCCGAATTAACTTTCAAAATCGTTTCAAATCGCGCTGGAAATCTTTCGTCGGCGAGTTTTAACTCGTTGTTCTTGACTGAAGAGTTAATTATAGCCATTTTTTTTTTTTTTTTTTTTATGGAATATTCGCGAAGGATATTTTGAAATCATCGAATCGTAAATGTACTTTTGGAAAATTCCAAAATCCAAATCCGTATGAAATATTCTAGGAACACGAAAAAGCGAGAACTATTTCCACCAAATTGTCTTTCTTCCTCGAATTCAGGAAGAGTTGAAATAGTAAATGCTTCGAATGCTGGAACAAGAGTCAGTAAAGAATGTATCTTTGTTTATTTCGTTGCTCGTGCCATTTATCTCTTGAAATATGGACGTGCACTTTTTTTCCACTTATCTATCTTTCCAGCTTTCATAGTTCCAAAAGTTGAAATGAATTTTATCGTTCTATACTTTTATTGCCGTACATAAGATATTTCATTGTTCTGATGTGTACGATATCATCGAATGCCAAATGCGTGCAAAAAGCAAATCCTTAGCTCAAAAAAAAGTCCTTTCTAAGAAAATTGCTTCCAGCTAAGAAAATTTATTTTCTCGCGAGACAGAACGAATTTAAGAAAATCCATGCTGGCTAATTCACATTTTCAGGTGAAGTAAGAAAACTATAGTGTCACTTTGAATCATTGGAATTTTAATTCTCGAAACGAGATCGGGAAGGAATGTTCGAATTAATCTGTAATCACTTGTACCTTTCTACGTGTAAATGATCTTCTGCCCATTGGAAAAGTATCTTCCACCGCTTTCGTCGTTGACAATTTCAACTCGTCGGTTTCTCCAACGTGATATTCCCAGGCACGTGGCGGCAGCGTGCAGCACGCTCTGCGTGTGACAACGCACAATAAAGCGCAAACAATCGATCCGCATTCGATTCTACAATCGAAGAGATTCCGCCAGGGACACGAAGCGGCGTGTCCCCCGAGCGAAACGAGCCGATATAATACCATTCTTCGATTCACATTGCTAACCTATCGCAGATATAACCTATCGCGACAGAGAGCCAACAGGCATTCTCACTCGACTATATTCTGTTGTCTGTTTCAGAGGAAATGCACAAATTTATAGCGGAACAGCTGAACACGTCGCGCGTGCCGCTCTGCATAAATCCGCAGTCCGCGGCGTTCAAGAGCTTCGCAAGGTAAGCCGTAGGTGACCGATCATTCAGATTAATATACATACATACATATATATATACATGTAAAAACCATCGATCGTAATCGTAAAAGGATTGTATTAAAGGGAAGGGAATCAGGATACGACGGGGTTAGGATGTAAGGGGCAGAATGATATACCCCAGATTGCAGTGTTGGTCAATAGGGGAGAAATTAACCCTCTTAGTGTTAGAATCATCGCGAGCGAAAAATACCGAGCCTGAACGAGACGAATTGATCGATCGAAAAATTAAGTGTTTTTTCTTCTTTTTTTTTTTTTTCTTTTTTTGTCTGTTACTTGGTCCAATTTGAATTTTGAAATATCGGACTTTACACCAAGTGATAGAATTTCATCGCGATTGAAGAACGAGGCGTTTTCTTCTCCTATTTTTCGGTCTCGCGAATTTTTTGGAATTACGCATTCGGTGCCAGATTAGGCGTCTCCACGCCTGTTTTTGGTTCCTCGATTTTCGAGCTGAATTTAGTGCCAAACGATAGCATACAGTAAGAAATATTCAAGTTTTAATTGATTGCATTAAGGGGTAGTCAGAGAAGCTAATATCCATTGAGATAAATTAAAATAACGACTCCCGAGGGTTTTGCTAACAACGAATTTAAACTTCGGCTTTCCAAAATGGCGATTCATTAATCCCGGGAAACGGTTGCCATTCCGTCATCGATCTTTTTCGGTCAATCTTCGCTTTTAAATCGAGAAAAAGAGACGTAACTCGTCTAACTTCCATTCGCGCGGAATGATACTTATCGTCCTTGGTATTTTTCGCAAGTTTCGCCCGACGACGACTATATCGTCGTTCAACACACTGAAAGGGTTAAGATCACAAACCGGGGAGATCGGGTCCTCGAGAATCGAAGAGTCATCCTTTCACCTCACCTCATAAATTTTTCCCTCGCCCCATCGAACATCACCATCGTCCGCCGGATCCTTTCTTCTTCCAACGACCAATTATATATTAAAAAAAAAAAAA